AGTTAACAGACATATTTGATTTTGAGTTGTTAACTAACCAGAGTTTTTGGTAAACCTGCTTCCATTCAATGATCCATCCATCTACTTGTCTGACCTGTCATTGCTGCAGTGAATAGTTAGATCCTGTGAGAACACTTGTGGACGTGACAAGCCCACTGCTCTCAAACCATCAGCGGCCATCAGGTCTACGATAGTGTTCATAATGCTGTAGCTGTTAATCTTTCTGATACACACTTTAGTTTTTCACATGGATATAAGCTGTAGATGCCGGCTTTCACACACCAGGGGGCGCTGCTGCGCCTATTTTTACATTCAACTGCTCATCGCTGACACAATGAAAAGTTTTAGATCCAGAAGTCTGAATTTCATGTTGATTATTTGATCTCTAACATATTTGTTTATCCAGAAAATCTATTTTGTCCTCTTCTTCTGTGCAAGATACAGAAACCGGGTATTACCATTACTGCAATGAGAAGTATATTCTGTGCAGTTCCAGAGCCCTACAGAAGGACCTGCAGCATGCTACTGGTGTGAATGTCTCCAACCAAACAATCCATTGATTGCATTTATGTATCACAAAGATTCCTAAAAATCATCAAAAGAAGTTGGAAATTATCATTGGAGACCAAAACAGTTTCTGTATCAGGTTGTAAAGATGTTTATTTCTAATGTAAGGTTTTAACTGATGCACTGCTGGAGCCTCTGCTGGACATCAGAGGAACTGCAGGTTTGGAGCTCAGTGTCGCTTCCACCCAGCAGTTCAGTTTGTTTGTGTCCACACATGAAGAAATGAGCCTCAGTCTGGTGACCAAGAAGATCTCTGATCTCCGTAAAATAAAATTAATTTGACTTCATATTACTTTTCCCTTTTCTTACTATCGATGGCAGATGGTAGGAGACCAGTGATGGGCAGTGGGACCTATTTATGTTTTCTATACCCCAAACATGACTAACCTCTTGTCTGTACGCTTCCAGGATCCAGAGGGAAAACCCAAGAAGGCGACCATTCGAGACAACAGAGACGGGACGTACACAGTGTCCTACGTGCCGGACATGGCGGGCCGCTACACCATCACCATCAAATACGGAGGAGATGAGATCCCGTACTCACCTTACCGGATCCACGCCCTGCCCACCGGAGACGCCAGCAAGTGTCTGGTCACAGGTTAGGCTCCACCCATCAGCACTGAAACTTAAACTTAAACGTTATCATTGGAAGCTTAGCAGCATCACTGATTGTAGTTGTTTTCCTACAGTGTCGATTGGAGGACACGGACTCGGTGAGTGGCCTCAACTTTCTTAGACTCACTGAACGCCAACGGATAAACAGCATTTCAGTTTTGCATAAAAAAGCAGCTGCTTATCTAACCAACCAGCAACTACACATATATCCTGAACGGTGGATATTTAAAATGGACACTGATTCATTGAGTTTAATGTTTTCTCAAAATTTGGTTCTGCGTTGTGACTGGAATCCAGCTCTTTTTTTTCCTTTTTTTTGGGGGGGGGGGGGTAGTTTGCTTAAAAAGGTATAAAGAAGGCCAGAAGATGGGCTGGGAGTTTCTCTGAGCTTTCAGAATGAGTGATGGGAAATGTCATTCGCTAAGCAATGGCTAAAATAAATCCCGTAAGCGCTGGGAACTGGACATCTGTCAGTGCAGCTTGAAGCTACTTAAAGATGTTTTGGTGTGTAGGGTGGAGAATTAAAAATGCTTGGAGGTCACTGGATAAACTCTGCGGCCTCCAGATGAGACCGAAACTATCTGTGGCATTTCTGCACTCATTTCCTGTCATCTATATTTGACACATGTGTAACTACCCACAATTACTGTCACTGTATTTGTCCAGTCAGTCTGTCTGGAAAACAGAAGGAAATCCAAGATTTATTATAAGTATGTTTTGCACTTTAAACCCACCCAAACAAAATCAAACACACTCAGTGCAAACTGAAATAAAACACAAAAACTTTAATTTATTGTTTTATTTAAGGGTTTCTATTGTGCAATAAACACATTGTAAATAAACACAATAGAGATTAACAACCCGCTCTAACAGCTCATTGAGCAGCACTCACTCTGAGGCTGGTTACACCACAGTTATCAGAACCTTTTTCTTATAATCAGTGCTCATGATCACTCTTAAAGCTTCCCCTAAACAACTCAGCATCATTCTAAACATTTAACCTCTCTGGTATTAGTGTCTGCTTTCTTTCATTAACATTAATCACTTCAGAAATCACTGCTTTGACTCTGTTGGTTCCACAAACGTCTTGTCAGGTTCAGGAATTGGACCAACCATCCAGATCGGAGAGGAAACAGTCATCACCGTGGATGCAAAGGCTGCAGGGAAAGGTAAAGTCACCTGTAAGGTGTCAACGCCGGACGGAGCAGAGCTGGATGTGGACGTAGTGGAGAACGCAGATGGGACATTCGATATTTATTACACGGCTCCAGAGCCAGGGAAGTACGTCATCACCATCCGCTTCGGAGGGGAACACATTCCCAACAGCCCCTTCCATGTCGTGGTGAGTCACCACCCTGAAAACACCATGATTTGGGCTTAGCTGATTTCAGTTTGGGACTGAGTTGGGGTCAAGTGGTTAGGTTAGCTTTGTTTTGCTTTGATTTTCTGGCCTGTTATTGTTGGTTTTATGGGGATGGATTTGGGATAGTTTAGGTTGAGGTTTAGTTTAGGTTGGGTTAGGATTTTTTTTTTTCTTTCTTGGTTCAGAGTGGTTTTGTTTGGGATTTGTTGGCTTTGGTCTGGTTTTTGTTTGGGGTTACATAGTTAGGTTTGAACTGGTTTGGGGCAGTTTGGTGTTTGTTGGGGTTGGTTTTGGAATAGTTTAAGTTGGTGTTTTTGGATTGGGTTTTGTTTGGTTTGAAGGTCAGTCCTTCCAAGTCTTCTTCATGTAAATACCAAAGTAGTTTTACGCCTCCAACTATCTCAACCCATCTGAATCTATCAGATTTGGAGCCACTGGAGATCGATTAGCTAATGGCTCATTTATTTAACACTCTGTATAACTGCATGTCTTTCACAACTGATCTTGGGATTTTTTTTTTTCATGAATATTAGTTGTCACTATGAAAAAACAAGTATTTAAATTATTTAGTTGACCCCCAAACGAAACAAACTCCTTGAATAAAACTGTGAAACTGTGAATTCTTCACAGCATTGACACGATGGAGAAATCTCCAGTTTAAGAAAAATAAATGTATTATTATTTATTATTTTGTTCATCTTTTTGTCTTTTTTTTGTTTTTGTGGCTGTTTTTGTATTTTTTTGTATCTTATGTATGTATTTGTTTTATGTCTCCTTTTTGATTTGATTTTAAGTTGCAGTCTATTTTATCCTTAATTTTTCTTTGACTATTTGTTTTATTTTTGTTTATTTGTTGTATTGTTCCATATTTTAATTATGTTTCAGATTTATTTCCTGAAACTGTGGAAAATTGCTGCGCTTTTTCGTGTGTTTGTTTCTGGTTTGCTTGTGTTTGTAATGGCTGCACCTTGTTCCTCGTCAGGCAAGTGATACCATCCCAATAATAGAGGAACCATGTGACAAGCTTCAGTTACAACAGCCCTACTCTCCCTATGCGGCCTTCTCCCCTCAATGGGTATCAGCATTACCTCCACACCTGCTGTTTATCTGCCGCTGCGTCTCCTCTTCATAAAAACCGTCATCTGTTCCTCGCTTTGCCCTCCATCACTGCAGCGTTTCCTGTCCCACAGTCGATACCGACCCACATTCACTTATTGATTGATCTCTGGCTCAGCATGAGGCTGCATGTTTAATCTGCATGATCATCATCTCCTGCTGGGAGGGCAGCTGGGGGCTACTCTTATTAACACTACCCTCTGATTTTTTACCCTCTGACTGGCTGATATCAGAGACAATTCAGCGTGTCAACTTTTCTTCAACACCTGGAGAGCAGCTGATCCAGATGTTCTGACAATGTGATGATTTTAGAGAAATAGTTTCAAGACAGATTTGATCTGTTTTGTATTATTTCAGAGAATTGTGTCTTTTTTTTTAAATTATAATTTATTTTATTTTTATACTTTTATAATTTTTTCATATTATTTTTTAGTATGACATTGTTTTAATTTTTAAATTTTGTTTTATTGCTTTATTCTATTTTTCATTAAATGTATTTAATTATAATTTTTTGGTAATTTTATGGTTTCATTATAGTTTTCAGAGCTGTTGTCTCTATTTCATTTTGCTTCTTTATACACAAAATGCTTAGATGGGTTAATATTTCTTATATTAACCTATATAATATTATTTTCTTATTATCTCAGAGACTGTGCAGCAGTCATTTGTTCCAGTTCAGTTCTGATCGTTAGAAGCTCCCTTCCTTTCCCCGCTCTTAAACCAGTGTTACCTAAACTGGACCAGTCAGATGTCTCTGTCAGCCTCTCTGCAGCCCTGCTGTGCTTCCTCTGCCTCTCCCCTCTCTCTGGATGAAATCCCAGAGTTCCTAGTATGATGCCACTAACGCCCCTCCCCTCTTGCTCTGGTTCAGGCTACCGATGATCCCATCAGCCCTGTGGATGGGCTGGAGCCGATGCTGCGTCCCTTCAGTCTGGTCATTCCCTTTACGGTGCAGAAAGGAGAGATCACAGGTAGGGCGTCTTTATTTCTAATGGTAGTGTTTATGCAGTTCGTGTTAATTTTGTTTTGTTTTGTTTTGTGGGCATTTTAGCCATTATTGGACAGAGACAGTGTAGACCAGGGGTCAGCAACTTTTAACACCCAAAGAGCCATTAGGATGCGATTTCCACGCAAAAGAAAACACTGGGAGCCGCAAATACTTTTTGACATCTAAAATGAAGATAACACTGTATATATTGTTTTTTACCTTTATGCTTTGTGTGAACAACTAAGGTCTATTGCTTGTGAGAAAAATACATTTTATTTATGTAATTA